AATTTCACAATCTCTAAATTGCATGCAGAAAATATTTATACAAAATGAACATAGCTCAAACATTGCAAATGTAAATATAAGTTCAATGCTTGTATATGCTACAGCAGGACTACCAGATGTAATTCTACATATCCAAAACAATATTTGACTGTGTTTTATTATAGGTAAGTTCCACTGACAATTTTTTGTCATCTTATATTTGTCATCTTATTATAAAAAACACCTATTAGGAGAAATCCCACCAATATTAAGTGTCAGCACTCTGATCTATCAATTGACAGGAATGAAAAATGACTAATGAAAAAAACCCAATGTATCCATATCTAAGAATATAGAACGGTTTAATCTGCTGCGCATAACTGAATCAGTAAAAAAAAAAAAACAATTGAAGAAAAACTCCAAATTATACGTTAAGAATGATTTTGCCAATTAGATTTTTATAATTCTCCTATCTGTAAATAAAGAGCTATTGTTTACCTGGATAGTTACTGTACTCTTCTTGATCCTTTGGAATCTCCTGTACTCAAGGTATCCACGCACTCTTGATTGAAGCTTTCGGATACTTTCCAAAGTCTTCAGGTAAGTGGATCTCTGTGCTTTCTTTGCTTTGTGGGCCTTGTAATGCTTCTGAATAGTTAGGGTTGCCATTCTGTACCGTCTGAACTGTTTCATAGCTGCATAAGCTCTAAATGAAGCTTGTAATCTAACTGTAGCTGATCGAAGTTTTAAAAATCTCCTACGATACATAACCATGTGGAGCACAGACTGAACCTTGACTGCAGCTCGCTTATGTTTTAGGAACTTTCTTGCAACCATCCCTCGATAAGCAGACTGCAATGTAAGTGCTCCTTGCTTCACTGCATGATACTTGGCTTGTTGTTTCTGAGCAACTCTGCAGGACCTGTACCACCTTTGGATTACTACTGCAGAGACCCGCATGGCTGTATAAGAGACTCTTGCTCTGTAGCTCCTGTATACAGACTGAATTACAACAGAGGCAGCCTTCTGCTTTAAGAAATGACGTCGCCTCAGAAACATCTTTAAAACGGATTGAATTTTTCGGGCAGCTCCAACTTGTTTAACCAGCTTCCTTGCTCTTTGGGCACGGAATGCAGCCTGGATGCACACCACTGCCTTCCTTATGCTTTGATAACGGAGCATCTCAGAATTTCTTACTCTATGAGCCCTGAATCTTTGCTGGAGTACACTGGCTGCCCATCTCATCCTCTTGAAAGCCATCCTTTGTCTATACATTCGGTAACTGGCTTGTACAGTACTTGCAGCTTTCTGCATTTCTGCTACATTCTGTCTAACCCTTTTACCCCTGAACATTGCTTGAATGGTCACGACAGCCAATCTTAATTTTAAATATTTCTCTCTATCCTTTCTACCTTGAATGTAAGCTTTGTAATGCTTCTGAATTATGAGAGAGGACATTTTCATTGCCTGGAATTTCACGGTTTCCCTGTGACTTCTGAATGCAGCCTGGATCACTGTCGCTGCCAAATGTTTTTGACGAATTTCCTTTCTTGTTCTAAAACCTCTATAAGCAGCTTGTATGGTTAAGGTTGCATGACGCAAAGAACTGTAGTGCTCTTTCTGTCGCTTTGCAGCTACTGTGGCACGATACCTTTGCTGAACTGCAAGGACAGACAATTTAACAGAAAGATACCTCTTGCGTTCTCTGTACGCTTTAAAACTACTCTGAATAATACTGGCAGCTTTGTGCATGTCTTTAACACATTGTCTGGACTTCATGCCACGAAAAGCGGACTGAATCAAAATTGCAGCGTGCTTCTTTGACTTGAGCATTTCCATTGCAGTCTCCCTTATTTTGTTTGCTCTGTATCGCTGTTGCACAAACTGAGCAGCCCACTGCAGCCTCTTGTAATAAGACTTATGCAAGTGCATTCTAAATTTGGCTTGAATAACTACAGCAGCTTTGCATTTTGCCTGTAACTGTCGTCGCTCCTTCATACCTCTGTAAGCTCCTTGTATCAGTACCGCACTGTTTCGAAGCTTTATAAATGCTTGTCTTTCATTTTTGCCATTTACATATGCCCTGTAATACTTTTGTATTAAGGTGGCTGCAAGCTTCATTGCTTGGAATGGTATTCTAGCTCGGTGCATTCTGAATGCAGCTTGAATTACGGTGGCCGCCTGATGCATCTTTCTGATCGTTCTTCTGTCCTTCATACCTCTGTAGGCAGACTGTAAGGCAACAATGGCACAACGGTGCATCAGATAGACTTTTCGATCTGTTTTTGCAGCAACAGTAGCTCGATATTTCTGCTGAATTACAACAGAAGCTGCTTTAAGTGAAAGAAACCGTCGGCGCTCACAGTAAGTCCTAAATGTCCTTTGGATAATGGTTGCAGCTTTGTGCATTTCCATAACTTGCCGTCTAGATTTAAAGCCACGGAAAGCTGACTGAATGACAACAGCTGCGTTCTTCTTTGCTCTGTATTTTTTAACTTCAATATTTCTGATTTTATGGGCTTTGTATCGTTGCTGTATAACACTTGCTGCCCAGCAAAACCTTCTAAACATGATATGTTGTTTGTGCTTCCGGTAAGTTGCTTGAATCACGGTTGCTGCTCTGTGCATTTTCTGAATTTGCAGGCGAGTTTTCATACCTCTGTACGCTGACTGTATAACAACAGCAGAGCTTTTCAGTAACAGATATTTTTTACGTTCCCGATTTCTTCTTGCACAGGCTTTGTAATGCTGCTGTATGATGGTTGCTGCCAATTTCATTGCACGGTAAACAATTCTTGCTTTGTACATTCGAAAATTCGCTTGAATGACTGTGGCTGCTTGATACATGTTTCTCAAGTCTTTCCTTACTTTGGACCCTCGATAAACTGCCTGCAGTTTCACAGCCACTTGTTTTAGCTTAATAAATTCTTGACATTGATGCCGGCCAACAGAACATGCCCGATACCATTGCTGGATGAAAGTCGCCGCCTTTTTGAAAGACGCAAGTTTTTTCTTACAGCTATAGGCTTTAAATGCTGCCTGAATTGTAGTAGCTGCTCTGTGTTTTTCTTTCAGTTCTCTCCTAGCTTTCATGCCACGGAACCCTGCCTGCACAGCTATCACAGCTTTTCTGATTTGCACATACTGATAATGCTGTTTCTTCCCTAAATAGTAAGCCCTGTATTGGCGCTGCAATACAAGAGCTGCCCTTTTCTTTGATCTGTACATAGACTGCACCACATGCGTTCTGTAAAGTGATTGTATTGCCACAGCAGCATCATGCCATTTTCTCATTTGTTTTCGGACAGTTTGCCCTCTCCACAATGCCTGAAGTCTCACTACTGACTTACGAAGATTCTGATATTTCCGTTTCTGGTTCTGGCCTGCTATCTTAGCCCTGAAACGTTTCTGTACAGACACAGCTGCTTGCTTTAAACGGAGGAAGTCTTTGCGAATCACAAACATTCTAAAGGCTGCTTGAAACACTGTTGCTGCTCGATGATGTTTCAACATTTGCTTACGTACTCTGTGACCACGATAAGCTGCCTGAAGAGTAAGAGCTGCTCTTTGCATATTCAGATAGGTCTCTCTAATCTTCTGCCTCTCTTTAAAAGCCCTAAACCACCTCTGAATTACAGCGGAAGCTTGCCTCATTTCTACAAACCTTCTTCTGTGAATGTGAGCTCGGACTGCTGTTTGGATAATAGTTGCAGATTTGTTCTGGTATTTAATCATTTTGCGCAAACTATAGCCTCTATATGCTGCCTGTAAACATATGGTTGCTGCTTTAAATTCCAAAAATTGGTGTCTGCATCTGACACATTCCCTATACACCCTGAAGCGTTTCTGAATAATGACAGTGGCACTACACATTTTTAGGTACAGACTTCTTGTCTTGTACATTCTGAAAAAAGACTGAATTTTAGTTGCAGACATTCTCCAAGTATCCAAACGTTTCCTCTGCAAGTGTCCTTTAACAGCTGCTTGGAGACAAATACAAGCATCACGTTTCCTTTGATACTCTGTCCTTTCCAGATGACAGAGTTTATTGGCTCTGTACAACGTCTGCATTT